ATGATACTATTAAACATTGTGGCTGGTCCTGGGGGGTTAGTGGAGACGACTGTTATATGAGCTGTGAGATCAATGACTTATATGACAATCAGACACACACACACACACACACACACACACACAGACTGATCTGCTCTGTTATGAAGGAAAAGTTAAAATATAAAAGAGCATTTCTATTTTCAGTGAATTTTCAGACCATATTCAGATATAAACTTGGCTGCAGCTCAGAAACGTCACGACCGTCGCAGCTGCTGCTCCCCAACACTAGGTGTCGACACCTGAGGTCAGATGGTCGTAGTTTGTCAGCAGACCACCATGTCTGAACTGAATCTCTGATAAGAATTCATAAAGAACAAAGTCCACACTAAATAAACACACCTTATAAAGGTCAAGGTCAAGACATCCACACACACACACACACACACACACACACCTGTGTCTATTTCCTGCTTCCTGGATAGGAAAAACTATTTCATTACATTAGACAATATATCAATAATAATAATAATGTTATAAAAAAATAAAAAATAATATCAATAAATAAAATGTGACCTCGTTATCGTCGTTAACAAAGTGAACTGAACAGAAAGTGAGCAGAGCTTTGACACCAGCATTTCAACATAAAACACACAGGTCTCAAAGCCTCACTTTAACTGTTAACACCACAATAATTAAACAGAAACTCCTCATCTTTACACCGTGCCCCCCCCACGGAGACAATGAGACACTGAACGATGACATCACACTGACTGGAGGTGCTGGACTGAAGCCTGGTCTCCTCAGAACCTGCTCTGCATCATCTCCTCACTGTTGTCATAAAAGGCTTCACTTTACACAAAGAACCTCGTCTGATTGGACGGAGGACGCCGCGGCTCTTTAAAGATGGAGGGGAAAATACAAAAAGAGCAGAAAGTCTTGCCTGGAGGCAGAAAATCATCTTTTATGAATCAGGAAATGTAAAAATCGGTAACAGTTCCATTTTATTCCTGTACTCAGCTCCGGCCAATCAGCAGCAGCGACAGATGTGCTTTAAAACCCTCGCTGCTCCAAAACATTTTTATGTGTTTTCATTAATCATCTTCGTTCCCTGGAGTTTCTGTGGAGAAAGAAATAAACCCCCGGAAAATGTGAAGGTAAAAAAAAAAAAGAAAGATAAAAATCCTTTGAAGTTGAAGCGACTTCATCAAACACCACGGCACAAAGGACGTATCAGTGAAATAGATGAGAAAGATTAGCAGGAGATTGATTCCTGTGCAACACGGTCCGAGGGAGGAAGAAATGTTGAGATGAGATTTGAGATGAAAGCCGTGATTTCTTTGAACAGACGGAGGTTTAACAATAGTTTCTGTGGTCAAGTGGCCACAAACGGAGAAGAGAAAAAGATAAAAGAGAAATAAAAAATAAAATAAAGATGTTTACACCTCATCTGACTGTTTCTACAGACAAACAGGTTTAAAAAGAAAGAGTCAAAGAATGGTAACATTTCTCTGTTGTGGTCCAAACCCTGGACTGTGTTCCCACAGTGTCACCGTGTGACTGTGTGACATCATCATATTACAGGTGACAACAGCAGCGGTTTCAGTCAATCTGACCTCAGGCTAAAGACTCATATTGCTCCTTTAATTCTTCCCAGGTCAAGACTGAATCAAGAGAAACCAACGGAAATGACCTGTCAGTCGATTCCTCTGCTGCAGATCAAAGTCAATAATGTGAAAACATAAAGGTTTCAAAGGTTTCACTTGGCTAAAAATGTACAGTAAATATAAATGTAGAGTAAATATAAATGTAAAGTAAATATTAATGTAGAGTAAATATAAATGTAGAGTAAATATAAATGTACAGTAAATATAAATGTACAGTAAATATAAGTGTAAACCACAGATCTAGGTGGTAGTCTGCACTTAAATCTACTCTGCAGAGATCAGGGTTCCTAAAGTGGAGGGTGGCGCCCCCTAGGGGTCTAGTTTCAGTAAATTTCAGTAAATTATCAAGTGTCAGGCTGTGACAGGTTTTATTTTTCTTCAGGTCAAAGAGTCAAAATAATTATAATAAAAATAAGAATGATTTAACTCCACTCAACCAGAGGTACTTTCTGTACCGTGTTGTGTATTTGTTGTACAGCACACGTTACCACTGCATTAGTGATATTTTCACACAGACAAAGTCGACCATGGGCTCTAACGTGAACCAGAACTCCTCAGGGCGTTCTAACTGGCACGACGTTCTCCTTTTGTCTCCACACCCACCAGAGCAGAAGAATGAGGCGTCTGGCCTCGAGACACCAGCAGGTGAAACCAGAGAGCAGAGGTGGAAGAAAGTCATTTGAAAATCCACCTGACGGCAGAAACTCAAACTCAGGGGACCAGGTCACATGTCATCTGTGATACTGAGGAGTCGGACACTGGATACAGCAGCGTTGGAGGCTTCGCTTGAATAATTATAACTGAGTTCTGACAAAGAAGGAAAATATGAGGAACGAAGAACAAGTTGACAATTGGTCGATGAGGGGGGAGAGAGGGGGAGGGAGGGGGGGAGGAGGGAAGACTTCATTTCCATACCCAAGATGAAGTTCCTGTTTACTTCAGTCTAGGCTGCGTCAAGTACTCTGAGTACTTTACATGGAGTACTTCTGGATATTACAGCCCACATTATTCATCTTATTTTCTCCATTACAACAAGTGAGTCATGTTCACGCCGTGTGATTTGATAACAGGCTGCGTCAAACAAAACTCTCAGTGAACCGAACAGTAAAAATGAAAATGAGCAACAAATAAACAGAATGACGTCATCTGTCACATCGACAACATCACCACCAACAACAACAACAAACTCCTCCTCCAAGACCGAGCACCTGTGACTGTGTCCTCCTCTCATCCATCACCTCCCAACGTTACATTCTCTACGTCACCAAAGACAGAGAGAGAGAGAGAGAGAGAGAGAGAGAGCGCTGACTGCAGGCTAACAATCTGTCTTTCCACCGGGGACAGCACTGAGTCCAGCTGAAACCTCGGCTTTCTGCTGAATTACCTTCCCTTTAATCAATGGCTCCACTTTGGAGAAAATATGTCCAGGAGTAGAAGGAGCGGGGGTTTGAATCCATCAGGACGGGGAAGATGTTAATGGATGACCTGAACGCATCGCTAAGTCCAGATTCATGGAACATCCGTCAGAACGAAGAGGGAACATAAACAAGGTGACGGATCATCACAGCCCGGGGCAGAACAGTGGGGGCAGTTATTTTACTCTGATGAGTTTTTAACGTCAGACTGTCGAAGAAAAAGAATAATAATAATATAATAAACCGCAGAGACAGAAGTCAGACGTCGGTGGACGGTGGACAGACCTGACCTGTGGTTTCTCTACACACACTGTTATCACAGAATATTTCAAACATCCTGTGGCTCAGACCGGGCCCCAGAGCCACGTGTTTGATATTACTGGACCACAGGTCTAGTGTCTGATGGCAGCTGGGACTGGCTCCAGCCTGGGGGGGTGGTGTGTGTGAGGGGGGGTGTACCTGAGCATCCATGAGCAGGTGCCTCATCAGAGTCATGGACTTCCTCAGCGTGTCCCTCTCTCCTGGGACGAAGGCTTCATCCTCGTCGGTCAGGCTGCAGGGTCGGGTCACCATGAACTGGACGATCTGGTCGTTCAGGTTGTTTAACGACTGGACAGCTGGAAACAACAGAGACAAAAACAACAACGTGAAGTTCCCTACAACCAACATGGACGACCTGACGGTCAATGTTCTGGAATGAGCCGTCACTGCTGTTTGAACAGGAGTCAAATATGATTTAGTCAAATATGATTTAGTCAAATATGATTTAGTTAAATATGATTTAGTTAAATCATGAAAAGGACAATAACTCCATTTAGTTTAAACACAAGCATGAAAAAAGTCAGTTTTGATTTTACATTTTTTGGAGGTGAATTTGTGAAGTTTCCAGTTTCATGTGACAAATTTCCAAATTGTTTTTTTTTTTTCTCCAGAGCCAGACATGGAAGAGTTAAAGGGTTTTCAAGGACACTTGGCGTTGAGTCAATCATGGCGTGGACCAGACTAAGAAGTCAATTTGGTGAAGACGAAGGGAGGAAGTGACGACGACCAAGGTCAGCTGTTCAGCCTGAGTGACGGGAGATTTACGCCCATGAGTTCCAGCCTCCTCCTGAACTGCAGCAGCAGGGCAGAAAGAGACATGTTTACGAGCAGAACGCAGCGCTGCATATATCAGCACGGAGCAGAGTGGAGGGAGAAATAAAAGGTTTACAACAGCGGCCGATGATTGGATTTGAATTTCACTTTCAGCCTTTACAAGCTGCAGCTCCGTCCCCAGGGACGGGCTGTGACACAGACACCTCCTCCTGTTCTCACTGCTTCTCTGTTCCACACTCTGACACTCTACGGAGCAGACAGGTGGATGAACGTGACGTGTGAGGATCTGACAGCACAGAGTCAAACAGCTGCAGGTCAAATGCATTAAACATCCAGTGGAAGCAGCGGGACGAGAACACGGAGGTAAATTTGAATTTGTTGAACCGTTTGTAATAATTGATGGAGTTCTTTCTCACCGGTGACTTAAACACAAAAAAGAAATCTGAAATCATCCCTGCTCAACTCCTGACAGCTGCAGGTCTGGAGGTTTGTATCTGCAGTTCTCTACCACCACCACCAGGGGCAGTGTTCTTCTGGTGAGATCAACCAAGAGGCGGTGGAAGAAGAAGAGATACTGAGACTCCAGGGGGAAAGGTGGTAAACCAGAGTCTAGCTCCAGTTTTGGGCCCCCTTACCACCAGTTTGACACACCTGGCATTGAATGGTATGTCATGCTGCACCTGTGAGTCATTTTAATTTGTAAAATCAAATCATATTTCTACCCTCTTGAATCTATTCACTGCACATCATACTAACTCATTGTCAGAGGGGGCGCCGTCCTGTTTTAAACATATAATACACAGTGATTATAATTAGAGGAAACGCTGCCGTCTTTGTGGCTCCCACTCACAGGTGGTCCGGCTCTGCCACGGGCTGAGACGTGGACCGCTCATTATGACCCGTGTTACCACGCACAGGAGCAAAACAACACGAACAATGAACTTAATGAGGCCTGAACAGAACGGAACAGAACAGAACAGAACAGAACTCTCAGAACCACAGATCTGAAGAAAATGGATAGAAAATATCATTTGGACAAGATATTTCCATGGTTGTTTGAATATTTGAATCCAGTTGAAAGATGGAGCTCCTTAAAAGGGTTAATTTAGTTTTATTAGCAGTTAGTTCAGTGAGAAAAAGATAAAAATGTTTCTTCTGCCTCCAGCTCCCCTCAGGGACCGACACTTCCTCACATAATGGGCCGCGTTCTTCCAAGGCAATTTAAACGAGTTCCAACAAACTGGGTTCAAAGCCCAAAAGGCCCAGCTTTGAGTCACGCTGCCGACACTGAACCTAAACCCGGGATTATCAAACACAATCCTTCAGATTAAGTCACAACAGAAAACACGTCACAGACGGTACAAACACCATGTGACCTGGTCCTCAGCTCCTGTTCAGGTCCATACATCAGAGCTGGTCCACAGTGTTGGTTTGAACCTGGTGACCTTCACAGCTCCAACGTAAACAGGAACATCTGTTTGTTCTAACACTCCAGGTTCTACCAGCATCACTTCTCATCAACACTCAGACTCAGAGTCACATTGACGCCTGAGGGGAATAATATGAACTTATTATGTCGTAAAAAAATCAAAGCACAGGATGATAAAAGGCTTCATTATAAAAGTTGATGGATCAGGTGGGAAACATAAACGGCAGCTCCAGGTTTGATCCACACTGACGGACTGATCAGGTGACACTTCGATCTGGAAGGTTCTCTGTCAACAACGTGACATTTCTGATGTCAAAGGTCAAACAGGAGGATTGATGCAGTAACGCCATTTCTCCACCAGTCAACAAATCTGGAGGAGCAACATCTGTCTGATGTGGTGCTCAAACTATGGTACGCTCACCGCCGGTGGTACGTGGACTCCCTTCAGTGAAATCCAACTCACATTAGTACTGGGTTAGTTACTGGTTGTTGGACACAGGACATCCTTCATCATTTGTGTGTAGTACTACATCACTTTACTACATCACTTTACTACATCACTTTACAGTATATCTGGCTGATGAATCTAATATATTAATTTGCCACATATACAGACTGGGCCGAGCAGATGATTTTATAGTTAGTCATAATGTTTCCTTCACAGATTCAGGTTCAGCTGGAAAAGTTTTGGAACTTTGATTAAAGTCATTAATTTACTGGAACTCATTACATTACCAACAAAATGTAAAAAAAACCTTATCTGCAGCGCTCCTTTATCGACAGGCTGTTCCTCCAGGTCAACATCATGTGGACAAACACGTGGCACCTGAATTATGTCCAATACTAATCTGGTCCAAACCTGTGTCAGCAGATGGGTTTTTATTCAGTGAAATGAGGTTCTGATATTTGTCAAAAAAATCCAACTCATTCCACTTTTCTAAAACGGAGCTCGACAGGATTAAGGTCAGGACTCGGAGACTCGTGAGAGAAACCTGAGCAGAGGAGCTTTAAGTTATTCAGCTGCAGCGTTATCACTGAACCCAGAACCATTAGTGTTAGCGTTAATGACATCCCAGCGAGAGAACGTTCTGGCAGCATCACAGAGGACGATCTTCACAGGCTGAGCTGGAGTCATTATGACAATTATGGCTGTCGCTCTGCAGCTGCACAGGAAACTAAAAGCTCACTCAAAGGAAAATGTTCACCTGCATTTTCATAATTTCATCTGGATTATTTGTGTGTAAAAGGTAGGAACCAGAAAGTGCAGATGACTCACAGTTTTCTATAAGAAGTAAACACAGAGTGAACCAGGAAGTCATTTACAGCAGACGTCTTCACCAACTCCACCAAACATCATCGCTCCAATAACAGCTCCACTCATTTCTACCTAATTGCTCAGCGCAGGTTGTTCCTCTGACCTGTTTCTAGAAAGCTGATAAATAATTAGCGGAGGTCAAACCATTTCTGACCCACAGGGACGAGCAGAGCTGGTTGTTCAGCTCAGAGATTCACAGCACAGACAGAGAACTGCACCAGGGACTGAAGTTTGCCCACAGCAACATTGCCACCACATGGCAGCTTTGAAGCATGGTGCATACAGAAGGAGCAGTGATGGAAGAGCCACTGTCTGCCCTGCAGCCTGAGTGGCCTGATAATCCTGGGAGATTAGGGAAGAAAAAAAAAACCTTCAGGACCTTCAGAAACATCCGTCCTAATCCAGCCGAGGAATAATCCTGGGAAACATCGCTGGAAAATCAAACATTTAAAAAAAAAAAAGACTGCACTTAATAATTCATGACAGTTTCTCTCATACTGACCTTTCATCTGTTAGAAAACTCTTAGAACCAAAGGCCTAATTATCTGACGCAGCGCTGAGACTCTGATCAATCATCTACGTGGGCTGTTAAACAGTTCAGTGAAATCAACCTGGTTAAATTCGTCTCCATTAGGACATTTGTACGTTCTTCATCTACATGCCCCCCCCCCATCCAAACAAATGTGAGTTGAGGTTTAGAACCGTCAACTGCATCTTACAGCTGGTGATGGCTCTTTAATAATCTGCCTGAGGCGTCGTCTTCAAACCCTGATGATGAAACTCTGCAGTGAGAGGTCAAAACATAACTGTTCTTCATGAAGCAGGAGATGAGGATAAAGCTGTGGCTCTACAAACTGTCAAGGACATTAAATCACTTTCATTCAATCATTCAAATGGACGTTTTGAATCTAACGATATTTTTATATTAGGTTTAAACTCAGTGGATTTCTGATCTGCAGAAGAAAAGTGTTTGGTTTTTTCTCCATGAAGCTTCACTTCACCACAGTGGTCTGTGGACCACAGGTGGTACCTGAGGCTCCCTCTAGTGGTACCTGAGGTGACTCACTCACATTCTCACTGGCGTGTGGATCAGTGTTTGAATCTTTACCTAAGTTTCAGTTTAGTTTCCACTCTGTCAGAGAATCTCCTCCTCCAGTTCAGACTGAGCCCAGCTGGAAATACTGGGTCAAATCTGAAGGATTAATGTGCAAAGTGTCCTTGTATTGCTGCCACCTAGTGGTTCTTTTATCACATAAAAAAACATCCAGAGAGGTGCAGACCACAGAACAAGAAAACACAGTCAGAGGGCAGTGTCACAGATTATCAACTGACCAAAGGGATTACTTGATTATTTTATCTTAATTAATCATTCAGTTTCATTTAGGAGCAGGTGCAGGTGCAGACGTCACATGACCTCCCTCCAGACTGTCTTTACAGTCTCTTATTAAACTCCTGAGATCCTCAGTCAGACTCTTTGTGGTCGGAGCTGATTATCTCAGCCCAGGTCGATGGAGATGAAACAAAAACTCTCCTCTGACACCGACCGTCAGTGGATGATCTTCAGACAAACACACTCTTACAGTTCAGTGTACTTGATTGGTGCTTCAGCAGACGAACACTAACACTCCTCTCTCAGCCATCATTCACCACAAATGAACGGAGCCACGTTTACATTTCTGCATTTTAAACAAAAACACGCCCCGAGAAACTGCTTATATTTCATAACCCCAGCAGCAGCAGCAGCTGCAGGAACAAACGAACGCCGACTCAGAACATGTCAGGTTCTGCTGAGGACCGCTCCCTGACTCACAGAGCTGCCGTCTGACGGTGCAGTCATGACGAGCAGCGTGACACGACTTCATCATCTCCAGCTCCGCGGCGTTGGGTTATCTGCAGTAACAGGGGAGATTAGACTATAAAGTTTATTTTTCAGAGTTCAGTCTGCGTGCGGTGCTGTAGGTGTCGACCGTTATCTCGTCCCAGCCTGCCCCTCGTCTTCCTCCCCCCGTCTCCCATCTGCTCTCTGGTGTGTTGTGAGAAGAGCAAAGAGGTTTTGGGAAGAAGCTCGGTGTGTGTGCCTGCAGATGAAGGCTGAGCATAATAACTACGGGGTTTATGGCTGGCAGAAAGAGCTGGGAAAAAAAAAAAAAAAAAAGAGGCCAGCATTTCTGGGCCGGGTGATGAAGACGTGCAGAGTCAGCAGAGTCACAGAGGAGTTTAATGATGCAGAAAGCACAGCATGGACTTCAGCAACACTCTGGAAGAAGTTCCTCTCAACTTACTCACAATATTTGTTGTGTCTTCAAAGTTGGTTGGATTTTTTTTTCTGTTGTTGTTGTTCTTGTTCAGGAAATGCTAAGAAATGCTTAGTCAACATGTCAGCGTTTTCCTCCTGCCACACATTTTAGTCAACCACTGGTTACGTCATGTTTAAAGACTGTGGTCAGTAGCCACCTGTCAGTCAGTTTAATGTCTGTAGTAAACATCAGATCCACTGACAGGAACCTATCAGTTTATTGATCTGTTGGCTCTCTGCCATGAAGACTCCGTCTGGACCACATTCATCTTGTTACTCTTTAGTTTGTCGTTAAAATTTACCAACTTGTGAATTCCCAGTCACTGCTCCGAGTCACCTGAAGGTGTCGCTCTATGTGAAGTCCAGCACGCTGCACTACTGCGTTTCTCTGATTCAATATAAGGATGAGAAAAGAGAGGGCGATCCAATGAGCCGTGTATGGACAGGGATGGAGACGTGTCCAGGATCAATACTGTAACTGATAACCTCAGCCACAGTGAGGGACGTTCAGAGACAACTCTGCAGCCGCCGTGGATATTTACGGGATTATCACGATATTTCACTGGATCTCGGCCAAGAAGAGAGGCAGGAAAGAAAAAAAAAAGAATGTGTTTGGTCTCAGGTGTCCATGAGTTTCCATGGCCAACGGCTCAGTTAAGGAGGTTCATACATTAACGGTTCTACAACATGAGCACCGAGCCAGAAGCTCCACCTCCTTCACCTAAGACACAAGACGGAGTGTAGACCAGGGAGAGGACGGGGACAGATGTCCACAGTCCCAGGCCGCAGCAGTGAGCTGACTGAAACAGCTGAAGTGTCACGGCGCTGCCACTCCTCCTTCTGCCAGAATCCTGAGTTCGCAGCAATTTGTGCAAATGCAGTAAAAGTGAACGTGGCGTTTTTATATGTTTTTTCTTCTGGTCGATGTGAACTCTCTGAACTTTTCGTTGCGGTGAGCGGCGGTAAAGGATGGATAAAAGGAAGGAGAGCGAGCGGCGATGACCAGGACGGTGGAGACGGTGGAGACGGGGTTAATAATGAATGAAGTTCTCAGAAACAGCAGCATCACTTGCCGTTCGCTCGGGGCAAAATATTAAGTCACAGCTTAAACACATGAACTGGAAACGAGTGTCAGTACAAAGAGACAACGGAGTCTTTCCACAGATTTGTTCACAGTTTCCCATAAAAGAGTGAAAAGTCGACCCTGTCCCCTGATTGGTTCATTTAGTTTCAGTCATTTGTTACATTTCTGACTAAATCTGTTGTGAATCCATTACAGCAGACTTTAGAGACAAAAGAGCTAAAAGATCAGGTCGTCAGGTCTCAGGGATTAACGTGTGATATGGTCAAAAAAAAAAGATTAATTAATTTAAGAAAAGGATTTAAACATTAAGATCATGGACGATTGGTCGGTTCTAATTTTTTACTTTTTTTATTTATATGGTTTCACTGCTTTGGTTGAAGAGTGTGTGTGTGTGTGTGTGTGTGTGAGACCATGTAACGTGATACGACTTCACCGCTGACACACCCTGTGATTGTTTTACTTCTCTTTATAATGTCACAGCCTTCAGGGGTAGAACACACACACACACACACACACTCACACACACGCTGGTCGACGCCACATTTGAGATAATTAATTTCCAATCCCTAACATCTTACTTAACACTTACAAACGTGTGTCTAATCTTAATCCGTGCCCTAACCTGAGCCTAATTCTAATCCTAACTCCAAGATGAAACGTTAACCTCTTAAAAACCAAACCATCAATATTACAAACATGAACATAAGTATTTGTAACGATAATAATCTACATTAAATCAGGAAACTCTCTTCACACACACACACACACACACGCCACATTTCATATGTTCTGTTAACGACTCGACTTCACTCTGAACTCTGTGAAAAAACTGTCCAGTAAAAACCAGTCCATCAACCAAACTCAAACTGAGGTCCAATCAGGGCTCAGCAAACCGTCCACAGTCCAGGCTGCCATCATTAAAGGCCGTGAGGCCTGAGGACGTGTTCAGGCAAAGAGCATTATTTATAAAAGGCTGCACTTGAGCACAGACTCTGTGGATACAGTGGATGGGGGGGGGGGGGGGGGGGGAGGCTCAACTGCAACGGGTAAAAATTATTTCCAGCAAAAGCTTCTAGTAACTTCAGAGACAGACCATCTCTGAATAAACAACCAGACCATAACAATATCTGCAGCAGAAATAAAAAAAAAAGTTTTTAAATTAAATGACAAGAACAACAATCAGAACAACAATCAGAACAACAATCAGAACAACAAAACTACCAAAGTCACAGCAGTGAAGGAAAGTTCCAGTCAAACTCATCGTACAGCTCTGTGGACAATAATAATTAGGAAGACGGAACATGACTGACAATACTGGGACAAGAGCACTGCAACATGAGGTGATTTCTAACAGGACAGCTGTCTTGACCCCTGACCTCCAGTCGTCATCATGACCAAGAACCATCTCTGACTCTGACTCAGCCTGATGTTGACAGCACTGACCCCAGCACTGACCCCAACACTGACCCCAGCACTGACTCCAGTCGGATGAAAACAACAACAACAACAACAACAACAACAACAACTTTGTTACTTTAACACCACAGTCAACACTAATGTCATTCACACACGTTTCCAACGTCAGACCAGACTGAGTGAAGACTGTCAACTGGACGACGAGGTGGACGGATGATTCATGTTGTTAAATATGGTTCACACACACACACACACACACACACACACACACATCTACCTGCCGTTGTTTGTCTGAAACATACACAAGAAAAATGTTTCGCCACATTTACCAATGACAATTGACCTTGATTAATAGTGATTAATTACACTAACTTAATCTGTGTTTCTGCGCTCACACCAACTACAGTATAAAGTCTATAATTAACCGTAGAGGAAATATAATTAGTCTCCATCGTCAGAAAAACAACTGATGTCATGGTTTCATTATCAATAAGTCGTTAACGACGATGCATTAATGGTCCATTTAGACACTTGGTGGCGCTAATTGAAGGGAACCAGGAATGAAAGGCTGTCGTGACAAAGTCAAAGAAGTGAACAGTGGAACAGGATGTTTTTGGAGGAGGGTGGGGGGTCTGGGGGGGGCAAAGATTTATGACAACCCGGTGCAAAGACTCACTCTGTCTTTACAGTTTGATGGTTTGACTTCACGAGCTGAGACAGAGAGGATGCTGTACCCCACTCCCCAATCGCTCACCCACCTCTTCCGGTCCTACTGTATGGTTCCTGATTAAAGTACTGCAGAGTTGTGTTGCCGTTGTTGGAGTCACTGATGAGTTGATGTTTCGATCATTCAGTCTGAGTCTGTTAGAGTCCACTCCACTGACACACTGCTGCACTTTCACAACCTATTTCTGAAGGAATCTTTTATGTCCGCTGCTCCACCGTACAGGAGCAGAAATCAATCCCTACAATCAGACAGGAGTGTTGTTTTATATATGACCCTGTATCCTGTTTATACCAGTCTGGACACAAACACAAACACAAACACACTCCAAACTTCAAACACTTCACCTGAAGTCCACACCAAGACGTGGGATCAGTTCAATAACCAATCACACCACTGTCGTGTCCTAACGTTTGTGACGTGTGCAGCTACTCACTGGCCTGCATCAGCTGTCCCTGACGTCCAAACACCTGGGAGAAGGTGGCGTGGCTGCAGGTGATGCTGTCCTCCATGGCTGTCCCACAGGCACTCACTGTAGAGAGAGGAGGAGATGATGATGATGATGAAGAAGATGATGATGATGATGATGGTGGTGATGATGGGAGAAGGTCAGCACCGAGGACTGCGTCATGTGAAGATGAGGATGCCAAGGACTGCGTCATGTGAAGATGAGGATGTAAGAGGAGGAGGAGAGACTTTACCTTCAGCTGTAGAAGCTGCTGTGATCGGTACGATGACCGTCCTCCTCTGCACTCGTCCTCCTGCTGCTGCTGCTGCTGCTGCTGCTTACATCAATGAGGGGAGGGGAGGGGGTGTGCCTCCTGCTTTGCAGTGTGCCAGTGTGTGTGTGTGCGGATGGGAAAGTTGAGTCAGTGTGTGTGTGTGTGAGTGTTACACACACTTTAATAGGAGCTGGTGGAGCCAGTTGCAGAGCTGCTCTCTCTGATCCTCCTCATGTGGCTCCTTAAGGAGGAGGAGGAGGAGGTGAATATGAGAGATGGAGGTGGAGCAGCGCCTCCTTCAGCCTCAGTGACTGTGTTTGTTCTCTGGACACCAGAGCAGGAGTGTGTGGATGTTCCTCCTCCTCCTCCTCCTCCTCCTCCTCCTCCTCCCTTCACTGCACCGTAGCAGTAACATCTCTCTCTGCCTCGTCCTCCTGTTCCCTCTCATATCTCTTACACTCACTCTCGCCCCACCCTATGCAAATCCCCTCCATCTATCTTTGAGCCCAGGGAACTGCTGTGAAACAGATTCTCTCCTCTGGTGCTTCATCCTCCCCCCGTGAACGGAGAAGTGGAGCAGTGGAGAAGTGGAGAAGTACGGCTGGTTTCCCCAGGCGTCGTCTTGAAGAGAAACCGTGGAGAATAAAATAAAATTTCATTTGTAACTCAACTGGAAAACAACACGGTCATGTAGTGCACAGTACAGAGTGAAGAAAATGAACTCACAGTTTCCTGGTACTGCAGCAGAAACGACACTGTGAGAAGGTGGGTTTGATGCTGGAGGATCACAGTTCTAGAAGACATGAAGAGAAGAAGACAGAGTACGAGTGAAGACAGAAATACTGCGTATAAACATTGTATTTCATATTCAGAGCAGTAGTACTACAATGTTACTACAAAGTAGAAGCCTTTTTAGAAAAATTTACATCATATTTTTCGGGTTCTTTGACCTTTGCTCAAAAATGGATTTCAAATAATGTGATGTTTCTGTTTTATTCTAACAATTCTTATTTATGATTTAACTTTTTGAGATGTGTTTGTTTTCCTTCATGAACATCTGGAGTTCCTGTCGTGCTAAACTCCACTGGACGTCACCGTCAGATGAATGGAGACGATAATAACAAGCAGGAAACTCACTGACACCGAGCCTTTCTACAGCCACACTCACACTACAGCCGCAGCAGTGACCTGACCGCAGCCATCACATCCTGGCATCACATCCTCCTGTTGTGGAAAGAAACAGCAGGATGTTCAGAGGAGGCAGAGAGGACGGTGGACCTGGTGGCTCTGCAGGTCAGAAGACAACGACATGGCATTAAACAAAAAACAAAACCCTCCTGGCTTCACAGATACTAAAATTGAACAGAACCTCAGCCAGGGGGCAGCAACAAACACACTAAGTTTGTAACATGAAACAAAAACAGCACAAAAACATGACTTTCAAGTCCGACAGACGAGCGCTCGGCTGAAGGACTCTGCTCTGGGGCTTCATCTGCTTTAATGTCATTCTCTTTGAACAGGAATCGAAGGCAAAGAGTTTTTTGGTTTTTTTTGCAGGTTGCTGTATATTGTCATGAACGAACAGCTGCCGTTCCCTCCTACTGCGCCACCTACTGCCACAGGCAGATAATGAAACAGATTTGATTTGTCTGCAGCCCTTTGTTGGAAAGGATTTTATCATCAGTGTTTGCACAGAAACTGACAAATGTGACAAAGATGTAGTTGACACTGAAGTGTACGGAGACATTAAGACACAGTTAATCATTGAAACCAAAAACAGGGTTTACTTTTCCACCTGCTTAGACAGCACTCCCAACTCCCAGTCAAATATTCCTGATGTTTTATTTTCTTTCTTCTCTGGTGATTCCAAATGTAGATCCCTCTGTTCCAATGTTAGTTTTCCCATATGTGTGGTGAGGTCAGATTCTTCCCAAACACCCCCCCCCCCCCCCCCCCCCCCCCCCCCCCACACCCCCACACCAAAACACCCCCCAGCTCACTTTATAAAAGACATATATTTTTCACAGCTTTACCAGGAACAAAATCATGTGTGTTCTTGTAACACCGCACCAACACCCTGCAGCAGCCTTTAAATCCACTTTACTTTGTCACAGTGCAGCACAGAACTGCTTTTTATGAATAGAACGGAGGCAGCACACACAGCAATCAGCAGAGAGTGCAGTGATATTTCACTGTGACAGCAAACAGTGCAGGACTCACCAAAACCACCGATAAAACACATCCAGCCATAAAGAATAAAACGCTCCAACAACGCACACACAGATGGTTTTAAATTGGTAACCTCGTCCGTCATCATAAACCCACGTGTCCGTCACAGACCCCGACCCAGGAGGTGTCACGTTTGTTTCAGCGTTTGTCTTGACTGATGGAGGACACCAACATGACAGGAGGGTCCATTTACAGAAAATACACAGAGAAAAGTGGACGTATTTATGGTCACTGCTGTGACCCTGACCTGACCCCGACTGTAGGAGTTTAAATCTGCCGAGTGTGACCAGAAATGTCTGAATAAATGTCCTTAACCTGCTCCCTGTGTGAAGTCACTGACTTTTCTTTATAAGTCGTCAATAGAAAAGGTCAAAGTGATTCAAGTTTATTTATGCAACACTTTCACTGGTTAAAAAAAAACCACAACACGCTTTATATTGATATAAAAATAAATAAATAAAAGATGTAAAAATACATTTAAAAAGTAAAATAATTACAAAAACAACAGATTTAGTTGAAATAGGCTCCATATTTGATGTTTATATTCACCGAATAAAGTGAAGTTAATATGTAATATTATGACGTTTGTGGTAAAAACAGAATCCAAAGGTAAATATATGACGATATGTTTTAATTCGTTTCCCTTTATTTCACTGGGTGAGTTTCATTTAAGTTAAAAACACAACAACAAGGTGAAGCCAACACTAAACACGTTCGTTTCCTCGTCATCTCTGTGGCTAATGTTCGGTTTATTGAGCTGTAATTAGCCACAGAAGGCTAGCCCGCTGGGCTACTTCAGTTCATGTCACTCACGTCAGGGAGTTTCTTCAATTAATTCGACGTTATCAAACGACACAGTTTATTATAACAAACTTTACTGACTAGTAAAGCGACTAAACCATCGTTAACATATTCATTTCCTCACCTGCTTTTCTTCTCCGCGTTCTCCGTGAGCTGCTAAATTAATTACAAATGCCGGGAACTTAGGGCCTTATAAGGACCGCCCACCGGAAGTGTACAAACTACCAAGTCATACTTTATTACTTCATACAGTCAAATACGTTCAGTAATTGTTTCTCTAAGCTTTTTCTTCCGTTTTATTCATAGGACTTCTTCAAACTTTCTCTTTGTTCAGCGTTTCTGTCACACAGCAGAGAAAATAATTTAAAAGGTTGGTTCTGAGCCACAAATCAACCTCCCTGTAGCAAAGACACTGATGTTGAAGCAGCTAACCAGCAGCTAACCAGCAGCTAACCAGCTCCGTTTGGAATTCTGATTTTAAAACACAAAAAGATGTTTAAATGCTTTAAAGATGGAAAAAAGTTAAAAACATCAATTTATGGATGAATACCTCATGTACTGCAGTGGAGTTAGATCTGGATAAACACACATACATGTATCCACATAAATACATATATGTATAAACACACAATAAAACTGATGTCAAGAAAAAACACCAGTGGACAAGTTGAAAAACTTTCTTTTATTATGTCAATTACAGCAATGTCTTACTTGAGGTCATGGGTCGGGGGTCGTCTTTGTTCATCCTTAAATACACAATATCAATGCTGAAAATTTCTCAAGGAAAAATAAATTAGATTCATATTCTATCATTCAATTGACTTTGCTGCAGCTCTCAGCGGTGAGGCACTGCCCGAGTGTCTGTCTCTGGGGGGGGGGATGGAGTGGTGTGGGGGGGGGGGGGGGGAGGGAAGGGGGGGGGGGCGGGAGGGAGAAGAAAAAAAAAACCACCTTAAACTAAGGTTTTTAATTGGCTGGGAACGTGACATAATGGAGTTATACAGTATATATGTATAAACATGAAGTCAGTGGAAGACGATGACCTCATTGTTTGAATTTTTTTTTTTAATTGACACAAAGCTTCTTTTCATTCATCCACGTCCGTTCAGGGTTCAGCATCATCGTGCATCCTGGCTTTAAAAAACTACTATAAATGTCAGCTTCACTTTCACTTTGTTCAATTTCTTTAAGGGAAACGACCGATGTTCCTGTTGGATTTGTAAAACTGTAAAAATAGCACAGAGCACCATCTGGGCTCGTGGTGCCGTGAACCTCCATACAAAGTATTTGTCAGTGATGATTAAAGCCAATGTTTCTTATCCTGACGGGACATTTGGCATCTTGTTTTTAAAGTGCTGTAAAAACACTGGGACGAGTGGGCGAATTTTCAACAAAAAATAATAATAAAATGAAAATCTCTTAAAGATGGATATTATTTAAAAAGATGTTTACATATAAATCCCTAATATTTTACAAGTGGAATTACCTGCTGCTGGCAGATAAACAGAGACAGTGAGGAGGAAACGGACTTAAAACAAACACACTTTTAGAGAATCAGACCAAAAGATGACAAGCAATAGCATTCGTATACTTACTACTCACATGTACAGTGTTCCTGAGGACCAACTGCTGCAGTTCACTACTGCCATGTTCATTTTTGTTTCCCAAACAAAAATAACAAATAACAACCAGATATATCCTACAATATAAAGACTACAGAAATTTAAATCAAAAGATGCAAATGAGGTTTGAACCCAAGTCGACACCCGCTGTGAAAGACATGGAAGAATTCGCTTAATCTACTATTTAGCACATGCAGTAAGAGAGTCCACGTCCATCTCTAATCTCAACAGAGGGGGGCGGTAAAAGAAACAAAAGCACAAACTAGAATCCTTTAGGCTAAGTGATGGGTGATTGACGTTTGCAATAGCTCAGCTTCCCAGTACAAATGGAGCCCTAGTTTTACGGTTTTGGGTCAAGTTATGACACATTAACGTATATATATATATATTAACTCGTTGTCATTTAAACGTCCTCTTTTTTGTTGTCTTCTTTTTTTGCAATGCTGGCAGAAGTGGAGGCTCAGGTTTTTAGACATGAGGAGACAAAGGATAAAAAAGTCTCTCCTCAAGTCCAGCAAACGGCAGTTGACTTTAACCAACTTCACTTTGTCTGGAGCGAAACATTTCCAACACAAACGTCAGCGTCAGTTCTGTCAGTGTCTGTGATTCCGACCTGCTGCCTGAGAGCTCAGCGAGCGTCCTCCCAGAACCACAGTTATCAGTGTTGGTCTGACTCACTTTGTCAGCGTCTCCTGAAACACAGACACAAACGTCTGAGACCGAGTCACATTTTCAATCACAGGTTTGAACTTTAAAACATTATAACCAGTTTCAGGATATGTTCTGTGGTCAACGTGCTCCCACCTGGGTCTCTTTAGAGTCTTGAACTGGTGGCTCCTCACTTTTCCCCTCAGCAGGGGGCGCTGTGCTGGACATCTGTGATCTCCTGGTCACTGGACCTCCGACTCTCTCTCTTGTTCTCAGGGCAAAGCGCTCCTCTTTCTTCAGCTGCTGTGGCTTCAGTGGTGCAGGTTTGGTCTCTGCTGATTTCTTGGGGGCTGCGTCCTTGTCCACTCGTGTCCTCACGGGGGTCTGCTGTGGAGCAGCGTCCACAGATGTGTCCGGGGCTGGCAGGGGGGGAGGTAGCGACTGAAGCTGGCCCTTCTTGGTTTTCTTGCTAGCAGAAGCGGTGGCTGGAGACGGCGCAGGTCTCTTAAGTTGACCCAGAGGGGCAGCGGTTCTTCCTTTGCCGGCCTTGACGGGTTCTGGGTTTGCTGCGCTGGAGCTCCGAGTTCTCGTCTTTCCCAGAGTTTTAGGCTCGGTTTTTATTTGCTGTATTTCAGGCTCTGAGGATTTCTTTCTGAGACTCACGGCCCTCTCTGCCTCTCTCTTCACCGTGGCTGGACCTTTTTTCCCCTTTGTCACAGCAGGCTTCTTTGGACAGCTGACGGCCATATGTTTACTGAGACTCGCGGGGTAAGTAAACTCGCGGCTGCAGTGGGGGCAGACGTTAGAAACTGGCTCTTCTTCTTTTTTAACCGTGACTTTCTTTGCGGTCGTGGAGGCTTTATTCTTCTGTGATATGGCTTTTTGGACCAGCTGGTTCTTCTTTTTACTGAGCGCACTCATCTTTGTTTTCATGGCGTCCTGGTTGAAATTGAGTCTCTTCGGCTGACCCATTCTACGGAAAGGACTCTGGCCGGCGGCGGTGGCGGCGGCGGCTGTCGGTGAAACCGCTCCGTTGGGGCTGTTTACTATTTGTTTCAGGGGGATGGGGTTTTTCTTGGGCGTGTATCGCTTCTTATCACTAGCGTTAGCGCAGGCTAATATGTGCTGGTGCAGCTCGGGCATGTTGTCAAAGCTGTTGCCACACTTGGTGCAGCGAATGGCGGTGCTGAACGTCTGTGGTATGTTGTGGGTGGTGAAGTTAGTGGCTGAAGCTACGGAACTAGCATGAGAACGGCTGTGATAGGGGAACGGAGGGGGTTTATAACTGGGGTAGTGTTGATTAATGCCCAGGCGTACGTCTGGTCCTTTAGGCTTTCCTCCTCCTGAGGCCATGATCTTTATTGTAGTGTAGAGCTCCTCGTTGGGGTCCTCTGCTTCTTCTGCTTCTTCTTCTTCTTCTTCTTCTGGAAGATTACCATTGACATCAGGTTCAACGAGTGCCACAGACTCACCGGTCACTTCTGGTGCTGGAGTCGATGGACTGCTTTCCTCTTTGGCTCTGGACGGATCGGTGTAGTTCTGCGGTCTGAGCTTGCCGCTCTCCACCGTGGTATTGGAACACGTCTCATCTGGATGCAGATCCTTTTGGTGCTGCTGGAGGTTACAGAGAAAGGCAAATTCTTTGGAACAGACAGAACAAACAAAGATGTTGCCCACTCCGTGTAGTGTTGTCCGATGAGCCAGCAGGGAGGGGGCGTCGCTGAAGAGCTGCACACAGAATTCACACTTGAAGGGCCAATCAGCAGCATGCTCTATGATGTGTCCACTCAGTTCTTTGATGGAGCTGAACGGCTCCTCGCACACGTTACACACAAACGTCTTGCCGTACGCTCCGTCAACCTCCTGCATCTGAGGGGCTTTTTCAGAGGCACCACGAGGAGCAGCAGGCTGAGGTGAAGCGTCAACGTCATCCCCGAGTGCATTATTCACAACAGCGACCTCACCATTCCATTGTTGAGGCTCTTCTTTAATGTTAATCTTGTGGAGAGACGGTGTCGGAGCTGGATCCTGCGATGGAGAGTGTGATGAAGATGAGGGTTCTGTCTGAGGCAGCAGAGCAGCAGAGTCAGGTTTCAAAGAGGTTTCATCAGTAGAGTCCTGGTTTAAACTGCCGTTCTGCTGCCTGTCGTGAACGGACACGTCCTGTGATGGAGACTGAGGGGGGCTGGGTGAGGGGCAGTTAATGTTATCAGTAACTGGAGAGTCAGACGACTGGGCCACACGCTCCTCTTCCTCTGCTCCCACGTCGTCCTCTGAATCAGACTGGTGTTCCGGCGATCGTGGAGACATTTTGGGGAATAAAACAGGAAGTGGTGAAGGCTGAGAGGTCGGGGAGCCGGGCACGGCCAGGGGCGACGGCACTGTGGGGAGCACAGGGGGAGGTGGAGTAGGGGAGGTTACGCTGGAGGTGCCAGGTGAAGAAGGGTTCATAGTGACGGGGGTCAAAGAGGGTGGAGACGGGTGGGCAGACTCTGAGGTGGCAGACGGAGACAGAGAGTGAAAAGAACTCATGTTGGCCAGCACCGAGGAGCTCTCCTCTCCTGGCACAGTCAAACCTACATATTCATTCATGAGCACTTTCTCCAGCATGCTGGTGTTGGGCTTCCGCTTTTTGATTAACGGCTGCGGCCCTGGATTTCCTTTGACTTCAGGCTCAACAGTCAGCTTACGAGTGAGGCTTAAATCCAGAGCTGAATCTCCAGGAACCTTGTTCAGGATTTCATTTTTACGAATGATGGAGTTGGACAGATCTAACGGCTGTTGATTACAGGAATGACCTCCACTGCTCGCCGCGGGGCTGTGCTGGTGTTTTCCTGAAGGACTTTGGGTGTCCCCGTCATCTTTGTCCACCACACTCCCTGAAGGCGACAGACTGAGGTTCTCGAGCTTTGGCACCTTGAGTGTGTATGGACTGGTCACCTCAGCTTTACAAGAATCAGTTTTAGAGGCAGGACTGAGCTGCGGAGAGGACGGGGGGGACGATGTTCTTCTTTTGAACCTCGCTGAAGAACCTGACACCTGCGTGACGGACAGCGGTGACACTAATCTATGGCTCTCTGTTATCAGGGTGATGGTCGACTTCTGAATATCCTGCGTCTGAAGCAGCTGTTTTAGTTTCGGTGACAGATAAACCGTCTTCTCTCTAAGGAATGGAGATGTGTCTGAGGCTGGTTGGAACAGTCCTCCTACTATTAGGTTGGATGAGGAAGATGTAGAAGATGAAGACGAGGACGAAGCCGTGAAATGAGACGATTCAGTTTCTACTTTAAGGCTGGGAACAAAGGATGGCGGAGTCGATGTTCTCCTCTTGGACGCTGCCTGAGTGGTGTTGGAGACCTGCTTTGCTCCACTCTGTCTCCCCTCCACCTTCAGTGTCTGACCAAACTGATTTGGACTGATGATGACGGTGTCAAGGCCGAACAACGTTGCCGACCTGGAGTCCACCTCTATCACCTCACAGCTGCTCTCCGCATTGGTGGAGACGATCTTTCCGTCGATGTAGAAGCTCAAGTTCTCTGAGATGTTTTTGGATATGTCCACTGCGTAATCGTCCCTGTCCACCTCGTCCTCCGTGTCTGCACTGGGCATGTAAACGGGTGGAGGGCTGGTGCTGGAAGACTCCCCGGGCAGCTGCTGTTGCTGCGCTGCGGCCTCCTGCAGCAACATCCCTTTCCTGCGAACTCCTTTTGGTAACAGGTGGCGCTCGTGTATTCTCCGCTGGTGTCGCCTCATGTTGGTGTGTGTGCCAAAGGCTTTACTGCAATACTTGCACGGGTGGAGTTCCTTGGACTCACCGTTATCATCCAATGTGAAGTGAGGGTCAGCGTGGAGACCTAACTCCTTCCTCTGCAGCTCAGTGTTGTGCAGCGGTCCTACACTGAACTGGGAGCCCACGGCGACATACTGCCCCGTGGGGCTGGTGCAGTCTGGACTGGAGCCATCGGTCTGCGTCACAGGACTCAGAAGGCCAGCGGTTCCGGCAAGAGAGCCAGGCCTTTTCTTATGTCCACTCTCATGTCTCCTCTCATGCCGACGCCTCCCGACCTGTGAGCCAAATGATTTACTGCAGTATCGGCACTTGAACAGCTGCGTCTGCCGATTGGAGATACCATGAATGTGGATGTGCCGTTCTAAACCCTGCTTAGTGGAGAAATGACGCTCACAATGTTTACAGGGATAGGACTCTCCGTGAGGGTCGCTTTCAAGGTCACCGTCGGGTTCAGGGTCGATGTCCAGGTCAGGATCAACCTCTGGCTCCTGTCCTTTGAACTGGGACACCTTTAAGTTTTGCTCTGAATTTTTATGGCTTATTTCTCTAGAGGTCAGTGATTTAACATGAATGGAATCTGCAGCAACTGAATGTTGAGGGCCAGTCGGACCAATCAAATTATCGGGAGCAGCATCTTCCTCTTCCTCCTCATCTTCTTCATCCTCCTCCCCCTCTTCCTCCTCCTCCCCATTTTCTGTGTCCATCAGTTGTGCCGACACATCTTGGCGCTCACCGTTTCCCTTGGGATGGCTTTTTTGGAGTTCTTGTGAGGTTTCTGAGGCCGAACTCTCAACCTCCTCCTTCAGACCTGTTAGACACGATGGTCAATAGTTAAATACACCTCTAGACACAGGGCTCAGCTGCAGATCCTCACTGAATCTGATCCAGGGAAAAGTGTGATTTACCTTCCTCTCCATCCCACATCTCCTTGACTGTAGCTTTAGTTACACGTGTCCTGGTAAACACACCCAGACCAGCCCGTCTGCCTCTAAAACTGAAACACAGACACATTAGTTTGTAACATTTGTTGCAAAATAAAAGCATTTCTTCAAAGAAAACAACTGAGCAGAGTTCTAGGAATGAAAAGTAGCCCGTCATTCAATGAGATATGTTTATTTATTTCATTATAAATCAATTTGATTATAAAAGATGGAGAAGTTACCAAAAGGAACACAGCGTTTCATCAACAAAGGTTAATTCCTTTTAAAATAATAGTGGATTTAAATGTATTAGCACAATCATTTCATCATTGTTTCATAATCATTTTAAAATCAAACAGAACGGTGAGTTACCAAGTACAACAGCTAATGATAGAAGAGTCTAAGATGAAACTGTTAGACTGCACTGCCTGCTGCTGTAATTAAATCAAGGTGATGTCAAACATCAGATCCTTCTGAGCCTGGTCTGACTCTAGAGCAGAGGCTTCTGGGACGAGGCCTTATAAGAGGTGTGTCTCCACAAGGTCATCTGACCCTGCCTTCAAGGCCTCGTTCAGAGATAGGACGGGAACACGCTGCAGGTCAGTCATCTGAACAGAACAGGAAGAAAGATCCTGCTGCAGAAAACAACATTTCCTCAATCAAAGAGCATTAATATTTCATAATCACTCTCACTACGTCACATGTCTGTTCAGCACAGAGGCATCACATGAACGTCAGCTAACATGGAGGAAGTTGATACTACAGTGACGCCAACGGGACAGGTGGGTTCACTCTGTCAAGTTTGCCCCTGCAGCGCGCTTACACGACCTCGGGGTTAGACGTCACAATGTCGTACAGACACGAAGTCATGTCATAAAAACACTGACTAAAACAACGTGTTTGACCTGACATTTCTTAGAGACGACTGCTAACGTTGGTCTGGTTCTAGTCATAACGCTGATGGTGGATTTTGACAGAACAGTCACTGCATTCTTGCACAACACTTTTGTTAGGATGATCTTTTTCTGACACATTCTGGTACAAAGAGTTGAGAAATGACAGTTGCAGTTTACTTTTAAGACTTTTCCAGTCTTTGTCTGTGCCCTAAAACCTCTGAGTGTGTTCCAAAAACAGATGTGTGAAGTTTACATTTGTTGTAGTTGATTTGCTGTTTGCCACTGTTACATAAAGCAGTACCAACAAAACCGACTTCATCCTTGGAGTTTGTCATGTTTTCTGGAGAACAGATGGTGAAGAAGGAACTCAAACGTTTCATATTATGAATTATTTCACTTCGAATGTGTTGAAAGCTTCAGTTTAAACTTCCGTGACGTTAGTTTTCACTCTGTACAACTACGTTATAACACAGAGCGTCAACTTTGACTCGGTTCAGGATCGAAAATCGACCTTTTGCTGAGTTTCTCGTTTGTCTCCGTGCTGTGGAACATCCGTGTCTTCAGACCTAGCTCTTTAGCCTACTGTTAGCATGCAAACACAGGTCTGATAACTCGATCAACTGGTTATTCTGAGGACGAAATCGAAGTTTAGGGGAATCTAAAGACACGACGTCAGACACGATACAGACAGTGACGGCTGTCCGGAGGTCTACACCGGGGAACTTGTCCGCCGTGGACGGACGGAGCGAAATTAGCTCGGCTGCTAGGCCATCACCGAGTCAGACAGCACTCACCGACTGATGGCTTTCACGCTCTGGGAACTGAAGGAAGGTCACATCCTCCACTCCGCCAGGACCGAGGAGGAAGAAAGAAAAGGCTGACGGGAAAAAGTTTCCCCGATGCTCGGTAGAACTGCTAAAAACGGCGTCTGTCGGAAACGCAGTCGCCTCCGAGCTAAGTGTGAAAGGCTAAATAAGCGACTTTTAGGTGGGGAATGAAGAGTGCACATGAGCCGCCCCCCCCCCCCCCCTTCTCACACCCACACATAAGAACACACACTCACTCACACAGACAGACAGACAGACAGAGCTACCGTTAACGTTAGCCCCCACTACTAGCCTACCTTCAGATGTGGCTAAGCTAGCTGTGCCTTCACACAACTTCCACTGAGCTGCAGACAAAAAAACAACTCTGCCCGGGTTTACAACCCACACACACCGTCACACACACGCGCAGGGCAGCAGCGGGGGTTCGTACTACAGCTCCGCGGCCTCACCTCGTTTCGTCCTGGCTGAGTTGTTCCTGTTCGGGCTGCTGGTTCTTTCTTCCTCCAGTGCAGCTGTTATCTCAGGGTTGTCTTCCACCGTGAACCACAGCAGCGGCTCCACTCCTCACCGGATAGGCTGCAACAATGAGAGATGAGCTCGACCTCCAATCACAGCCCGGCTTGCTGAAGGGGAGGCGGGGGCGGGGGGACAGGGGGGTCGTAGTGTATTTGGGACACCGTGCATCTACTGTGTCTGACTGTTTGTGTGTCTAGGTGTGTGTTGGGGTTCAAGGAACAACACTGTCTGGGGGTATACACACACACACACACACACACACACTGTGGTTTATCATTAATGATGTGAATGAAAATGGTAAACACAGCATTGTTAATAATGACAACAACAACAACAACAACAACAACAATAATAATAATAATAATAATAATCATATCACTAGGTCCTTAATAAATAATATTAAATATTAAAAGTGCAAAAAGACACCATTCAGGTACAAAGAATGTCAACAGAAAAGTGTAAATAAAGTTAAGCGCTGACCAATGACAGGTGGAGGAAGAGACCACGTGATGCTGTGGTGAACAACTAGTTAAACTGGTGATGTTAGACTAGTGGAAGTAGGTGGAAGGGCGTGGGTCAGAGGAGGTGAGGATAAGAAGGTCACAGTGTTCAGTATGTAAGAATGTAGTGTGTGGGTGACGTCATCGTTACTGTGACGTCACAGTGTGATGAAACAGTCCAACTATGACTGACTCTAAATTTAAACCAATGTTGACTTTATTTTGTGACCAACCATGGAGATACACAGTCTATACACCAGCACAGTTCAGGTGACATTAATGCACTAGAGGGCAGCACTGGGGTAAACACACTCATATACACAAATATATAAACACACACATATATATAAACATTTGGAATTTTACCACAAATATACTTTAAAGAGCAGAACTGTAGAGAGAGAACTGTAATCATTATTACAACCTAGTTGCCGGATCACTTCCCCCCAGTGGTCCACAGTTCCTAAATGAACTCTGGAGGGGGGGGGGGGGGGGGGGGGTAATTAGTTGGTAAATGTGCAGTGACCCCCCCATTCCGCCCCGCGACTGTATTTTCCAGGACTTTTTAAAGATGTTTTCAGCAGACACACCATCACATGGTGCTGTGACGGTGAGAAGTTTCTCCAGACGACACGGTGACAACAGGGAACAAGAACTCCTTCTAATTATTTTTTCAAACATTTTCAACAACTGGAAAGTTGCTCCTTCATTTTCCAGGTTTTCCAGGATGTTTGGGAACACGGAGCAGCCCCATCTGTCCCTGAGGAGCCAAGGCCTGAAAAGGTCAAAGTAAAGAAAATATATTTAAATCTGAACTTTGTCTGAGTCCAGACGTTCTCACATGAGATCAGTCAAACATTAACCAGAGATTATGGCCCAGAGCTCAGGGCAGAACCTCCACAACCGCCGACGCAGGACTTGGTTTTCACTCCTTAAAGTTTTCTGATGAATCACTGAAGGATTCCTGAAGTGCTGTGCACAGTCCCGTCTGTATTAACGCCAGCAGGGGGCAGACTGGCGTTACGTTTGTAAACATTAGGGAGAATTACTGCATTAGTGTATGTTCATCTATACCAGGTGAACACTGAGAAAGTCAAATGAAGACCTGATCATCGGAAAATTGTTTGTTTTTAACCCATTAAAAACTACGACCTTCCTCCAGTTTTCCTCAGACGTAGCCTGATGCTAATGGTTAGCGACATCTAGTTTATTTATTTATTTACAGAACACCTTCCTACAACACACAAATGTGACTCTGATCCATCGAACTATGTCCTCCCCCTCCTAACTAACTGACTGACTGACTGACTGACTGACTTTCTGACTAACTGACTGACTGACTGACTGACTGACACCCGGTCAGTAACGTTCCTCCCAGTCGTCGTCATTTATTCACCGTTTACACCAGTTACTTGTCATTTACCTGCTGTAACTAAACCATCCGTTTTAACCTCACCGATCACTGACTAATAACTCAACTTTTTCTTTTTCTTTAGTCCAAACTCAAATAAAAGAAATCATTTGAACACATTAACGTCTGGTGTTTCTTGAATCCAGCAGCTTCAGATTCAGACACTCGATGTCCAGACGAACGTTCTCCAAACAGAGCAGACAAAACCCGACACACGGGTGGGTATTTCATCCAGAGTTTCCACTGTTGCTCCTGACTGTGAAGTCGAGCCTGACACCACAACAAAAACACAAACATTACTGTCAACAGATTGTATTTTATATAAAATGTACACAAAATATACAATAATGTGATATCATTTTTTTCATCTCATGTTACGTATTGTGCTTTGTTTTGTGTAGAGAATGTGAAACACGTTCATATTTTCTTCTTCCTGTTTTACTTTCACTCAGAATGACACAAATATTTAATTAGATTTAAACGTTAATTATCAGGAAATCTGAGGTCGAATTATCTGGGCCGGTTGTTGTAGGCTGCACCCACTCACACCGGTGGTCGAGGTGGTAACGATTATGTACAGAAGACAGCCGTGGCCACTAGAGGGTGCTGCGCTACAACTGGTTATGTCTCTGACCTGATCTGTGAAGAGTTGGAAACTGAAGTTAAATCACACTGATCACGTGTCCCGTAATTAAAAATACACGTGTTTTTCTGAGTAACTATTTTGTATAAGGTTTATTTTTTACCGGAAGCAAAAAATAAAAACAAACTACACACGAGAATGGACTTATATGGACAATATCATAAAAAGACCATTTCTCCGTCGACCACATCTACAGAGACAGAACATGGGTTCAGCTCCGTTAGCGAACGTTCACGTCTGTATTTGTGGGTCACTGTGACTGTGTCCTACAGGAGCCCAGCTGGGACATTTTCACCAATGTTTCACCTTTGCCCTGCTGTGTTTCCTCCTGTTGTCAGGAGGACATTAAAACCCAAACCCTAACAGACAGACGAGTGTGAAGAACGCAGCCCCTGTGCTCGACAGAGCTGGAAAAGAGAAGTGGGATTAAGTCAAGTCCACACTTGAAAGTGTTGACTTTTGTCACCGGGAGCTGCCGTGTTGTTCCAGCATGTTCCAACGCTGCAGGTGCCTCAGGAGTTACATCAAGCCTCTTCCCTTTGTCAGGAGGGGGAGGAGTCATAATTAATGATAATTACATTCTACAAATGTTTAAACACTGTTGAAGAATGACAGTGTGGAGTTAAGAAAATAAAATAAACACTTTCACTTCATTCTTTCCTCTTCGTCGGTGAAACTACGGAGGCGTTTTTGTGTTTGAATCCCGCTTTGTGCTCATGGAGTCCACGGTCGAACACTGCTCTCTGCTACTGCAACAGAAACAAAACAAAACAACCTGTGGGTCGGGTCGGGTCAGGTCGGGTCGGGTCGGGTCAGGTACCTCAGGTTTGACAACATTTATGAAGGACTGGTCCAACAGAAGCTGAGACTCGAACCCTGGACGGTTCATCAATATTCATGTCTGTGTTTGAAGGAAGGGAAGAATCTGTAACCATGAAATGTACAGCTAGAGGGCAGCCTGCTGCACAAATGTAGTTTTTGTGTGTATTTTTGAGTACTTTGTAAATTCCACCTTTAAAGAACACGTTTATCACAACACGCCCGCTCCTGTTTGACATTTTGCTGTGAAGTCTGATGAATGTGGGTGTCGTCGAGTGACGAAGAGGAAACAGCCGTCACACACTTCATCATCTCCACCAGGGGGCTTCAAGATATTTAGGTCAAGACCCCCAAACTGATGGAAAGATACAGCAGGAACCGCCCCCCCCCATGTTTATGACTGAAACTATGTTCATTATTATGTATTTGACTGTTTCATCTACAATTGAATTGAATATGTTTTACAGACATTACAATTTCTTTAAAAATATATAAAAATTGTCAAGTTAAAGGCAGTACCACTGCAGACCCCTAGGGGGTTCTGCTCTCATGTCGCTGATGTAAAACTCGTCTTTTGAAAGAAGCAGCAGCAGCAGCACGATATTCCACAGTGAAGTTATCATATTTTATTTTCTTTTAAGTGCCATTCATGCATATCGGGGGTAAAGAGGGGGGTCGGGGGTCGGGGAGTGGGCGGTGGTATCGACAATTCTAATAACACTTGAGTTATTTTACAGCACTAAAACGAATACAAAGATTAGCTGTGTCACCTCATCGGTGACAAAAGTAATAAACCGTGCAATAAACGACAACAAGGAAATAAAGGACGAGAAGGAGGGAAAAAAAACAGGAAATGACAAAAGACAAAATCAACAGAACAACAACAACAAAAATAAATCAAAGAGAACAAACCAAATATATATTATCAACACTGAAACACTGAATGTAGAACCAGATACAGGTAAAGGTAGTGTCACACAAAAAGCCAATGCATTTTCATCACATATATACAATATAGATATATACATACTGTCACCCTCTGATTGGACGATAACAAAATACTCTATTCTTTCTCCCTCCGGGTTTGTGAAGAAGCCCCTCCTCCGCCCCCCCACAGTCTTGGTGCCCCCCCC